GTTTGAGTATCTATGACATTGTCCAATAAGTTGGCTTAATCCAGCAGAAGCCAAACACTTGATTAAATTAGGACCAAAATACTAAGGAGTGTGTAGGCGTGAGCGCCATTCAATAAACTAAAAGAAGTTGGACTGTAGCTTCTCTCTTCAGAATCGCCTCTCCCGGCCCAGATGAGTGGACAAGCTGAAAATACATGGTCGCTTTTATGTCAGTTGGATTACTTGACCCAAAGCAGCGGAAACTGGATGTTACCGTGGAAGTCCACCAGGAACTGCAGCCCTTCCTCTGGAGGTCTGAGTGAGCCTGCCCTCCAGGATGGCTCCACACAGTCAACCTGAGGAGGGGAGAGAGGGGAAAGGCTGCTTCTTGAACAGAGATGCTACAGTTTGGGTTGTGGCAAAGCCGGCCTGGTTTTATTTGCTCTTCAGATCCACGCAAAGGTGTGCATTTGCCTCATGAAGGCTTTTAGAGTTCCTGTTTCAACAGGGGAGATAATTTTGTGTGGCATTGTTTGCGCAACTGGTACCTTGCTCAGGGTGGGAACCTTTGTAGCTAAATGTCTCCAAAAGAGGCGTTTATTGTTTTTTAAGCTGCACTGACTGGACGCCCTTTTTGAATCCATTGTATATTGCAACATTTCGAACCATTACTAACTCGATGCTCTCGAGCTAGGACTTGTTGACTTCTACTGTAGTTTTTTTCATGAAAGTTGAGAAGGCCTGGTTTCTGGCCTTTTGTTTCTTCATGAGAAGGTGTGACACTGCCTAAATGTTTCTTACTGTGAAACACACAGAACGTGAGGCTGCAGTCAGGGTTGTTTCTGGTGTTTTGATAACGGCTTGCATGCTGCTTTCCAGTTACCCGTTTGTCTGAGGAACAAAGTTTCCATCATTTCCTCTTTCCACTTGTGTTACTGTAATGGTTGGTTTGATTCACAATACTTTGTGGGCTCTTTATCACGGGCAAGATACGTTCTGGCCATTTAAAAAAAAACAACCCAACCTTAACAAAGCAAAACCAATTACAAACCACAACTGCAGGTGCAACTCGAGTTGATGTTGTGCTGTTTGCTAACCGTACCGTTTCACACAGAATAACTATTCGTGTCGGTACAGGTACCATATGTAATGACCACGTCGTTGTGTAGTTAAAATGAGTTAACTTGAAGGTGGTTCTGTATTTACTCTTGGTGTTTAAAAGTAACCTCAGTTTTAATTGGTTGGTTATCATCTCTGCTAACGGGGAAAAAACAATCTTGAGCCATTTAGAACAGTCGAGGAAAACCAGATTTAATCTTGACCAGTTTTTCCAAAACATTTCTTACTAAGCAGCATTTTATCGTTTTGATTTGCAATCAATTCTTGCATGGTATAAGCAGCTGAGAGCAATGCCTCAAATAACCAGAAATGACCTTTTGTTTGTTGATACAAATTGTATCTCTTTTTTCTTGATTGTATAAAAACTGTGTATAAAAACAATCTCTCGATTAACGTCAGTATTGCATTTTCACCACGACGTTTGTGACACCGTGTGTCACAGGGAAGTAGCCCATGAGTAATTATGGATCTTTTTTTATTTCAAATGGGCACTTGTAGTTTATAGACAAACAAGGACAACTTTTCAGAAGCAGTTTATTATGTGCACAGATCTGTGTGTACACCTCAGCACATTACATAGTTCTCCTGAGTCTATTTATTAAGCAGATACATTCTTGCACTAAACTTTATGTAAAAATGTTGCTGTTAACTCATCTGCATGTGTTTAAAATGTATCAATATAATTGCTATAGACCCTGCTTTCTTCTTAACAAATTAATTTATAAATTATTTAGGTATAAAATGAAGTTTATTGTGCACTCAACGTTTTCCATCCTGCATGGAATTAAATATTTGTATGTAGAAAAACGTTTGTTCCCTTTTTCTCCAATTATAAAGATAAGCTATTTTAGGAGAGGTTTAGTGGGTGTTTTCGATGTTTTCTAATGTGGAAAAGTGAGCAGAAGTTTCCGTACGAAGCGGTGGGTGGTTTACGGAGATACTCATTGCTGTAGGATTTGCCTGGTCGTTTTAATTTTCATTAACTTTTGTCTTACTGATAGAATAATTCCTGTTGAAACAAACGGGATCGCTGTGCCAACACAAACCCCGCACACCGTTTCCTCAAGGCACTTTGAAGGCAAATTGTCTTTTTCTAAGGAGCCGTTAGCATCTCGTGCACAGAGGAACAGAACGGGCACTGCGGCCTTGTGGAAATAATTTGCCAATTTAGTGCTTGTTTAGTCCTCCTCAGAGGTGACAAACCTTTTTGTACGTGACGCGGTCTTTCCTAATCCACTGCTTTAAGTGACAGCGCAGTCAGCCCCATCTGTTTCCAGCCATGTTTACAGTTCAGAACACTGACACCTTCATTTGTCTTCAGCGCATAAGCTTAGATTTCTTCTGACATGGAAGAGTTGATCTTACGAACACGTGGTCATAACTGTCTATATTGTAAATAGAAAACTTGCTATAAATGCTCTTTTTGAGAGCATGGTATTGAAATGTTTTTAAAACTGTAAGAGAACAGTTCTAGAAACTCTATTTTAATAAAATCCATGAAATTAAAATTCTAGATGAGGGGGGAAAGAAAGAGAGGGAAGGTAACATCCTGGCCTACTGCGATCTGCAAGAGTCCAGCAGCAGCGTTCAGGGCTTGGCTGGGTCAGAGCCTCCTCTGGGAGCTCTGATTTCCCGCTCTCTCATCTTTAGCTGTATTAATTTCACATAATAATTTGTCACTTGAAAGTGTATAACCTTAAATCATGAATCAGAAATCAAATGCTCTGTGGGATGTCAGTCTAAGTTATTTAATGTTTTTTGTAAGAATTACATGTCGGTAATAGATATTAAATTGTACATATCCATGATTTCACTACTGTTAGTCCTGGCTTTATTCATTTGTAGAATTAAACAATACTGTTTAATTGTTGTAAAATTTTATAAATCTCTTTGGGTTTTTTTGGTTGACCCAAATATAATGTAAGTCTTAATGACAAAACGAGTGAAAATGGGTGTTAAACCAGTACGTGGTATTCTTACATCTCTGTGGTAGGAAGTGTGCGCTGCTCTAGTTGCTGCTGCATGTGATCCATTTATTAGCATGAGTCTGTCCAGCTTCTGTAAAAACGCTTTAACTGTGAATTTAGGAACAGAAGGTATGGGTAGGGTTGCTTGGAACAAGCAGAAGGATCCTCACTAAAAAACCAATCAAAACCAGAACACCTATCTAGGTGAGTTTCTCCCTGTACACTTTTAATGCCAGTTTGCCTCATGAATTTGGGCATTTTGGAATTCTTAAAGTCACAACACGCAAAGAATCTGTCCAGATAATTCAGTTTAGAAATACTTGGTGACATGCACATACCCTAAACCACAACCAGGAACATTTCAAGGGACATATTTGGACTACAGTAATTTTTAAAACTCTACACTAAAGAGAAGGAACTCGCCTAATTTCTGTGAGGCTTTGCTCCACAGAGTTGAAATACTCCTTTATCTTGACTTGCCCAAAGTTTACCTGAAGCGTGAGCACTACAGGACTCAAAGCAGTCAGATCAGCTCGCTCTGTCACTGTTATTTCTGTGGTGAGCGTTCAGCTTTACTTCTCCTCTTCGGTGCCCACAGCCTGGCGGCGCGACAGAGCCCGTATTAACTCCATGGCTTCATTAGTGCAACTGGAAAAAGGCAAGAGCACCATCCCTGAGATCATTCTCATGCCAGTGTCAGGTTAGCCTTGGAAGAGCCATCACACGGTATCTCATCTTTTGGTCTGTGGTATTTAAATTCTGTAAATGTATTTAAAGACTTGAGAGAAGAACCTAAAAGAAACAGAGGCTATTACCTGTTCCCCACCCCTTGCTCCGTGTAAAAGGTTTGCACAATTTATTTAATAATATGAAACATGTTATACTTTCTATATATAAAAAATTGCTTATTTAATAAAACTGAGAGCCATTGGATCCTTTGTTTCTAGCTTTTTATTCTGTAACCCTCTTCAGGCAAGAGCCCCTTAAATGAACTTGCAATTCAGTCCTATCCCATGTCCTGCTAAGGTTGTATGTCCCTTTTTGTGTCTTCCTACAGAACATTAGCACCTCATGGCAGCAGTAGCTCTGAACAACTCAAAATACTTCATTTCACAGTGCTGCACTGATGTGTTCCTGTTCCTGTTTCATTTGTGAATGCTGCCAGTACCAGACTGACGCCAACAAAGGCTCTGTCTGACCCTCTGCAGGTACACTGACAGACACTGAGTTCAGTAAATACTCCCTTGAACTCCTGTTTCTGACAGGTAATTGCAGAAACCTCCAGGTTCCGAGAACCTGTAACACTTGTAAAGAAAAGTGAATTGAGGAAAACCTGGCTGGAAATCCTTTTGCTCAGTTTTCCAACAAGGTACTCGCATCCATTTCTGCAGTAACCTCAGCAAAGGCCACAGCATTGTTACCACCCTCAGCAAACCCATGAACAGAAACAACATCGAGCAGGAAACGTTTTAATTAAAAAGAGACAGTAATGGCCTCAAGAGCAGCACTTGAAAACAGTCTTCAAATGGATTTATGCACCACGGTGCATTCAGCCGTGCTGTAACCGGGCTTGACGGGAAATCCCAGACACATGAAAATTGCAGCACGATCTTATCCTGGCAAAACCATGCAAACTTATACAGGACAATATAGAAGTGTCACTGACAAAGGAAGGACACGATATCTACCAGAATACCCGAGTTTAAAAGGAAAAACAGGATCCAGAAAGGTTTGCCTTCAGTCAGCTGTATTTATTGACAGTAAAAAAATCAGGGAACATCGAGGGATTTTGAAGGACTCAAACTGCATTTGGCAAACATCAACTGGAGCTGAAAGTTCACGACAGTGGTTACCGCACATGGAACTTCAAATGTACGACCTTTATAAAAGATTTGCTTTACATGGCAAAAATCAGCGAATCTTTGCCAAGCAGACACCCTGGAGTGGCTATTTCCCCGTCACCATTACCAGTTCTTCCATGGCACTTATCCTGTGCAGTACTGGAAGCTGCAGAGCACTCCGCTGCCTTAGAAAAGCTGAAGGCCGCTTTTTATTTTATGGAAGTCGTTCTGAGTCCATAACAGTCCTCCCGGCACAGGAATGTTCAGTTCTGCAGAGCTGCCAGAGGAAGAGAAACAGCGCATGAGCACTGAGCAGACACAAGCTCACATCACCAAACTAATGTTGACAGCACTTTAAACGTGGTAACAAGTTTTATTTCAAAAACAAAACACCTTTTATGCAGCAAAGAGTCAACGTGAGAAGTCTGCCACGTTACAAATGTCACGATGCCCATGCTTTGTGCACGTGGGACGCAGCCATTCCCGGGGCTGGACAAAGAAGTCCCAGAAACGGGGACATTTGCAGAGACTTTAAAGGAAGTTGTTGTTTGGTGACACCCACAGCATGCAGAGTAACTTCTGATTTTACGTGGTGCCTCACTCAAACTGGCGTAAAATCCCTTTTCATTGCAGAAGTTACCCAGTTAGGGCTGAGGCCCAGGAGATCCCCCCAGAAATGACCCATTTCCCTACCTCACTATCGCAGCACGCAGAGGAACAAGGAAGATTTTATACAGTGGTGGTGGTGAACATATCTAAGCCTTTCCCTTCCCAAATATTTACTACATGAAGGAACTTAAATCACTGCCGTGTTGTGTGGGAGGTCAGGTAAGGTTTGCTTCATCGTTTTTATTCGTTTTGTGAGAATGGTGAAGGTGAAAGCTAAATTTTATCACTAAAACAAATCTTTAAAGGACCCGCTTGAAACCTGGTACCTGACACTGTGGAGGAGAACGAGGGAGGGAAAATCTGGTTTCCTGGGCATGTTTTTCACTTTCTCTATTTCCTATGCCCAAGGAGAGCTCATGCACTGCCAGTTACACACACACACAAATCACACAGAATCGCTTGGTTGGAAAAGTCCTCTGAGATCATCACGTCCACCTGTTCTTGTCTACCCCCTAAACCATATCCTTAAGTACCTCATCTACCCGCTCTTTAAACACATCCAGGAACATCAAAGATATTTAAAGACTTCTTCTTTTCCCCAGTCAATCACAGATCAAAAGATCTTCAATTTCAAAGCCAGTCAAGAAATGAAGCCTCAGGTGCTTTTGAGGCATCTTCTGGACAATGAGATCTTACAATTTACACGAGAATCATGTAAGAGCAATTATAAGCAGTGCCACTTACAGTATTTTAAATGAGGTCTCTTCAAAGACGACAGCAGCAAATTCTGGTAAAAGCAAGTTTCAAGGCAATTTACAAATCCCTAGAAACAATTAATTACATGTACAACTGCCTCAAGGGAGGTTGTAGAGAGGTGGGTGCTGGTCTCTTCTCCCAGGTGATGGGGGACAGAACAAGGGGAAACGGCACCAAGCTGTGCCAAGGGAGGTTCAGGTTAGAGATAAGGAGGAAGTTCTTTACTGAGAGGGTCGTCAGAAGCTGGAACAGGCTGCCCAGGGAGGTGGTGGAGTCACCATCCCTGGATGTGTTTAAAGAGCGGGTAGACGAGGTACTTAGGGATATGGTTTAGGGGGTAGACAGGAGCGGTTGGACGTGATGATCTCAGAGGGCTTTTCCAACCGAGCGATTCTGTGATTCTATGGCAGTTTCACCATTGCATACACGCTGAAATTGTGTCATATTAGAACACGTAGGAGAGGCATGCAGCAATCTGTGCAGAAGACAATTTACTTTAAAGACAATATGAAAAAACCCAGCCTACAGCGAGTAGAAATTGCTAAGTGTGGCCTTTGCTAGTTGAAGTTTCCAGGATACTGCTTTGCCAGCCCACTTCTGCTACACTTGCCTTTGCTGCTACCACGTCCCACCCAAGAAGTGGCCGAATTCAGCAAGATGGTTCCTTATGCACCTGCTTTGTAAATGGCTTTGGTTGTCTCTGCAGTCAGAGTTCAAGTACAAGTAGTTCTGCGCTGCACACAACAGACAACACGCTGTGTGCAGGTCTGCAGTGCAGCAATTAGCAGGGACTCATTCTGCTGCTGTAACTTCATCATGAAGCACCGCACTGCAGCAGAAATCAGCTGTAGAGCAGAACCTGGCATCATCATCAGGCGATTTTTAATTCCCGTTACTCCAGAAACCACTGCAAGAAATATGCTGGGATTACAGAGCACCTGAAGCCTGCAACACACCAGTCGGGAAGGGCACGTGCTACAGCTGGGTTCAAGTAGCAGCTTACAAACAAGGCAGAACAGTGAATCACAGCGTTCCACGTGCCCTTCACAACAGCCCCCGTAATGATGACTCCAGCTACCACGCAGAGAAAAATCCACTGAGCCCGTGATGATCAGATTAAGAAACCCTCACCCAACTCCTGTTGGAGCCTGTGGGACAGCTGCCAGATGGTACTGGTTGCTGTAGCCACTTACAATCCTGCTGCAGCTCCTAATTCTTACCACCTACCTACACATGAACTCAAACAGCTTTATGTTTCACGCCTCCGAGATCAAGTATTCTATCATTTGTGACTACAGTGAGAGTGCCAGGGCTCTGCAGACTACAAGTAGATACCCAAGTTCCAGGAACTGGCCTTATTCCCAACATGGAACATGTTGTGAGAAGCCTGATTCATGGCTGGCTGACACCAGAGGGCTCTTCTGCTGAATCAAAAGGGGTTTTTAGCATCTAGTATAGATTGACTCTTCTTTCTGGAATGATCAACTATCAGAAGAAAAATGGTTACCTGCTCTCTTCACAGTCAGAGGAAAACAATGCAGCGCTCAAAGCATAGGTCTTTGCCAGTGATGAACATCATTCAAGAGAACTGAAACACATAACTCATTTAACTTCTCTATAAAAAGAGGGGCAGGTTTGGTCCTGCCTGCCATAGAAGTGCTGGATCCAAGGACTTTGTTAAAGTATTTGGAACCTCAGAAAGAGGTGCAGTAGAAAAGCACTGTTTCTTTTTGATTACCTAGCCAGCTCTAAGATGCCAGTTTTACATTTAGATTGGATGAATCAAGCAGAAACAATTCCCTCTCAGCAGGCCAGAAGAGCAGACTGGTCCTGGGGAGGATGACCAAAAGGATGGAGAAAAATGGAAACCTTGCTCTTTGGAAGGCTTGGAAATGGAAACTAAGCTGCAAACAACTCTATAAATACATGGAAATATGAATATGTGCAAGAGCTTTTCCCAATGCAACACCCTAGGCTGCATGGCTGTCACTGCTATTCACATTTTTTGGAAGCTACCAGATTGGGCCTATCAACTACAGAGAAAGAATCACTGATTAGAAAATTATCCTGAAAGTGTTTCAGAAAATAACTGCCATTCGTTTACATTCTGAAGTGTTCCTTGGATGAAAACACACGTAAGCCCATCTGCTGCTGTGTATGTGATGGAACTGATTTGACAGCTTACAGCATTCAAGTTCCTTTGGCTTCAAAGGGTGAAATAATGACCCTATTAAAACACCTTCAGTGGGATGGTTTAACTGGATAAGCTTCATTTAGTAGCAGAGATGATCTAACCAAAGCTTTATAGAACTATTTCTACGGCAACCTGTGTTTCTTTCCTGAGGTCAGATCTGCAGCTTCAATTCCCAGCTGAGGCTCTGAAAAGGTCACTGTCACCAAGAATCAGAGCTCAGTTAATAGAAACTGAGTGCTCTGAGTTTTCAAGCCTGCTGAGGCTGTGCTAATGACTTCCAAACTTAAAACTGCAGTAACTTGTAATCCTTGCAATGGTGTCTTTTAGAAAGAGCAGGAGGAGTGAAGATGGTAAGATTATAAACTGGCTTCCTCAAAGGACACCACAGAAATCACGTCTGATTGCCAATGATGCCACTGCATTTAACTTTCAGATAGTGCAAAGGACCCAACGAGTACAAAAAAAAGTGCATTCCCAGACGAGAATGAGAACAGCAGTGACTACAAACAGCGGCTCTCAGACTCAATGACAGGAAAAGAGGCAGGAGGCAAATGCAGAGGTAAGTGTTGAGGACATTCTTGCAGCTTCAAAGGCTGCTAGGGCTTCATGGAGTAACTTCCTTCTCATCTTCAGGCTTTCCCTCTAATGCACCTCAAAACTCTTTAACAAACCACTGTGCATTTTAGAATGACTCCTTTCTAGACATGATTAAGCTACTCTGGGAAAACCGACACTAGGGGAGGCTGAATGACTTCCGAGGCTTCTAGTCCTGAACACTTCAATAGCAAAGCCACAGTTCTTCCCACTGAAGTTCCTCATCCCAGTGTATCCCCAGGCAGATTCCACACCAGCTCCCAGTAGCTTGTTTTAAAAAGTTCTGCACTTCCAGACCAGTAACTCCAAGGGCTCAGCAGGCTGGATCTTGCTAACACCATCTAATACTGAAAGCTGTCAGCACAGTGGGAAGAGCACTGTTATGCTATTACACCAGCACCGCAAAGGTCCTCCCAGCCACACACAGTACTTGGAAAATCCATGAGAAGCACAAGTTAGTAGATTGTAGGCATAGTAATAGGTGTTTGAGTCAAACAGAAGTAAAAAGGAAAACTCATCCTTAGATTTTCACATCATACAGTACAAGGCACAGAGGGACAAATGCATTTCACGGTTCAGGGGCGAAGCGCTGCCCACACCGTTACTCACGTTGTACTGGGAGACATCCAGTCATCTCTCGCTGGCTGATCGAGCAGGGACATCATGGAATAATTATCCAACATGAGACCATCAGGGTCATCTGTCTGACCTGGGAGTTTCCCAAGAGGAAAGTCCTTCCATCGTACTTCGTCTGGGGAAAACAGCACACACACAAGACGTCTGAGCTACCCACATTTCCAAAAAACATCCCCCAAGACCACAAATACTGTCACACGCAACTCAGCCATGCAGAAAAATGAACAATCTCAGGTACTCAGCAAAAATAAGTTTGAAATCTCTCTAGAATAACCCTCTCTTCCAAAGAAAGCCACTGCAGCGAAACAACAGGGACCTGGAGTCATGGATCATCACACAGCCTATGCAGTGCAGCTCATCCAAACCACTGTGAGACAATGGCCATTAAAAGAACCCCATGGTATTCCAGAGCACCCCTTCAGATTTACCTTCCTCTTTTAAGCGTACTTTTGTTTGAAACATACACATTGACTTACATGCTCTAATTTAAAAAAAATTACTCCGCATACTTCTGTAAATTGCAAGCGCTGTTTGTACACATGTGAAAACACAAAACAGCACCTTTGCATCCAGTAGCTCATTTCTCCTTTGAGACCAAGTATCAGCTTCTTAATGACTTGCTGAGATCAGCAGCTGCACAGCAACAGTGCAAGAGAGACTGAAGAACTGAAGCCACAGAAGTTGAAGGATGTAAGGCTGGGGAAGCCCAATTAATCAGTAAAGCAATTCTGGACTGACAGGGGAGCTGGGATGAGATGGCAAAGAAAAAAAAGGTATATAGATGTCTTGGAAATTCTGCTATTTATTTTACAAGTGCCTATTGCTGTTTCCTTTCCATGACTTCACATTTGTTAAATCTGGCTCCCAATGCAGGCCAGGAACTGCACAATGGGAAAGCATCCATCACGACTGATAGCATCGGTTGAGTCCATTCCTTTATACTGTGGTGCCAAAATTTCAAAGGCAGTTCCTAAGAGAGAAATTTCTATTTAAATGTCATTCTTATTTCACATCTAACTAAATGAAAGATAGGAATTACGGTGTCATTGTTTGGACAGTAAGAGTTCCTAAGCCTGTGCTCTTTCTTGATACCAGATCTCTTATTTCTGGAATGCTTACTAGCAGCTCAGTGCAGACCAGCAAACAGAAGCCAAGGCACTGCGCTCCCAAGAACCAGCAATAATTACACAGACTATTTGAGACCCCTGATCATCACATATAACCTGGCCATTTCTTTCTCTTTGCCTGAAACTGATTTGAGTGCCTGATACCTGCTCAAAACCCCAAGCATTGCCCTAAAGAACCAGCAGATTTATTTGTTTTTCATTTTCTGCTGTTCTTGGGCATTTAATAGAACAAAAAAAAAATCTCGACATAGGATAGTGCTTTCTAAGTGCTGTAATTTTTTAATTAAAAAAGGGGCAGAAATAGCATTTGGTAACACCCAACGCAGCTGTAAGGTAAATTATCATTAGATATATTGAACAGGCTAAGCCCTCTCTTTGAGGACCAACCTTGTAAACAGCTGCTATACCACATGTTGTCATAGGTCTGTACAGGCCTGTTGGCTATAGTTCCAAATTGTTTAAGGATGGCAATCTTCCTGAAGCATGGAGCTTACAAGCACACGACCGATGCTTTCCAGCACCACCAAACTGTGCTTTCAAATACCCCCAAGTCTGACAAACAGGAATCCAAGAAACATCCACGTTTTCTTTGCCATTCACAGCCTGCATACATGCTGCCCCATCAACTGGATACACGGAAATTTTAAAATTGGAAAAACTGGAAAAATTTTAAATTTTGGAAAAGCCTGATTCAAAAAAAATAAATAAATGTGATGAGGCAGTACCACCACGCTTCTGGAAAAACCACTCGCAGTACTTGAGGAGTTTAAGAGATGACTCCTGCACATAAACAGAAGATTGGAAAGAAAAGAGCTTTCAGTGGTTTGGCATTTAGATGATTTTGAAGCATCCTTCAATTCTGGCCAGGCCCTGAGGGCTGAGATGCCTCTGCATTTCAATTAACACTTGCCAGTGATGAAGACTATCCAAATACTGAAGTCCTTTTTTACCTGCAGAGATCTGCCAGGCGGACCCTTGCAGTGCTGCCCTTTTCTCAGCGAGAGCCACCATGTTACCAGAATGAGCAAGTCCTTCCAAAGCATTTGTTTCAGTTACCATATCTTCTTCCTCTTCCTCCACCTCCTCTACACTGTCGTCTCTCTCCAGCACATCATCTTGTTTCTCTACAATCTGCCCTTGATTTTTAACCTGATTTTCTTGCCTGGCCCTCCACTGCAAGCTCTCTATAGTGTAAACTGGCTGTTCACTGCAGTTTGAAGAGAGGCCTGGGCTGGACAAAGGGCCACCTCCTTCTGTGTAAACAGAAGCCAGATAGAGAAGGTTCTTCCGCGAAGAACGTGGCAAGCGAGGTCTCATGATTGTGAGGATCCTAAAAAACAAAAGGGCAATGTAAAAGTCTTAAAAGCAAAGAAGATTCCAGATGAAGGTTTATCAAGCTGAGCAGCCTTCTAAGTCCGAGTTTCCTCCTCTCTCATGTATCTCCTTTAACAGGCAAATCTGATTATTACCTGGTGGGTCAATGCTGGAATACTCCCTCTTTGTGGTTAAAATTAAGGACTTGGGATACTTCCTGTGGAAAAGTTACCACCTGTGCTAAACTCCCATCACCTGTATAAGCAGTCACATATCTGCTACCAAGTCACTTTTCTTCTATATCCCTTCTTTAATACCTCTCCAGATAACCTTCACTCTCATTCTGAAGGTGAAATCCTTTTAAATTCTCCTCCTCCTCTTTGCAGAATCAATGGGGAGATGAGCAGCAACAAGCTGGGCTTTATATGCACCTGCCACAATTTCTACTAGATGCACTGGAAGGGAATGCAGCTCTAACTCAGCATGCCACAGGAGTGGGCCTAAGCTGTTAGAAAGCACTGTTTGCTGTCCCTTATCTAGGTCCCAGGATCAAACTTACAGCTGGAGAAGGTGAGGGGTTGCCCAGCAGGGAGCTTCCAAGCAGATATCAGTCAGCTTCATCCACTGCAAAGGAACTTTATGGAGGAACAGCTCCTTCACGGACACCTGCTTGTTACAGTGTTGTCTTTTCTTCCCTTCAAAGCAGATAGTGAAAACAAGGTGTTTAAAACACATTAAAAATATGTCCTTTGTCCCTTTGCACTTCTACTAAAACACCAATCCTCAAGTAAGCTGCCATTGCAATGCAAGTCCAAGACCAGATGCACTGACCGAATACATCACGGTTGTTACAAGGGACTTGCCAATGCGTTCACAGCAAGGTTCGCTCCACATGACGCAACCACAGCAAGGTGCAGACTTTCCCAAGCTGACTCTGTGCGTGCCACCCCAGTTAGGAAAGCCACAGGATGTGTTTGTACAGAACTGTCCCAAATAAATGCAGTGTGCTGCTTCTGGGACCCGAGATCATTCCAGATAGCACTGCAATGAGCGGGCTTAACAGCTGGGAACTACTGCCATTCAGGGATTTTGGGAGATAACAGATATGCTCAGCACTGACCGAAAGCATCAAACATGAGCCTGTGACTGCCACAGATACTGGCAAAATCTTGGTGCAAGCTGAGCCAGACCGGGAGAGGACAGAAGAGGTGGCAAATTTAACCAGCTGGAAACCTCCTCAGGGATGCACTACATCACAGTATTCCTGGGACACACTTTGAATAATTAAAGCTCTTCTGGGCCCCAGTCTCTGGACGAAAACATACAGTTTACCCATTTAAACAGTTCTGAGGAGTTAGGAACAGAAACAAAACCACTACTTATTACTTTTGTGTAAGTTTAGAAGGCATGAAAATTCTGTGATAGGATTAAAAAAGGACAGGAAGACTGTGCATGTATCTTTTAAAGGCAGATTCCTATTAAGTGAGGAGAGAACTGGCAACAGGGAACTCATAAAAGGTTGCCTATAACGCTTTATTAGTTATCTGCTACTGTTACCTCCTACAAGTACTAATATCTGGAAAAAAACAGCACTTAAAGGACTGATCTTTCATGGGAGAGATGGACTTTTCCTGTCCTGAGGAAGCTGCAGCAAAGTTGCCAATAGCAATTTCAATTTTTTGCTAAGAAACGCAGGACATACATAAGCTGCAGGCTGAAAAGCCTAAGAAATGCAACAATAAAAGCTCTACGTTCACATGACAAAATGTAATATTTAGGTTACCCCACTTTCCATCCAGAAGTGACACCGCTCTCCCAGTTTTCGCCATAGGACAGAAGGGACATTTTGACACGCAGAACTTCCAGACGTACTTACCAGCGTTTACTTTGGCAATGCCAGTCAGCATCTCGGAAATCCAGTTGATCAAGAACTGAGACCGGAGCTCTGAAGAGTCAGAACATTCCTTCAGCTCCGTAAACATTTTCTCCAGTAGGATCTGCGTAAAACTTCGGGAGAGGAGGCCTGACAGCAAAGGCTGCCAAAAGCAGTAAAACGTCTGAGGAATTCTGAACTGCCATAACTCTTTGTTTGCTGCAATGAGAATCAAAAAGAAATTCATTACCTCACCTCAAAAACAAATTAATTACCTCACCAAACCTGAAAGTATTATTTTCTTATGCTTAGAGAAGTAAAATAAGCAGCAAATTGGTCATTAACACAACAACTCAATGAAAGCAAAAAAAAAATACAATGCCCGATCTAATCACATGGTAAATCACAGGAAAACCTACCTGTTTGGCTAATCCCTTTCCTTTCAGCTTATTTCACACATAATGAAGAGCTAATCTATCCAAAAATACATTGCAAAGAGAAGGCACATTGAGCAAAGCAACAGAGCGTCAAAACGCTCATGAATTCTTACTACTGTAATACAGTCACAGAGATTTGAAGCTCTTTCTTGTACAGTTCTTTGGCTGGTGTTTCCAAGAGGTCCCAGGGAAGCAGATGAATTATTAATTTTCATAGCCTCTAGGTACCTTCTTCTCTTGCAGAAAATCCATGCAACTCCACATGTATGGGCAACAGTATGGAACTAAGATGCAATGGGTGAATGAGGCTCAAAAAACCCATTTAGATTTGCTTCAAATCTTCACTGTAGAAAAGAAACAAGTGGGAGCTCATGACATCAGTAACTGCTGCAGACAAGGGCAGAGCTACAAGCTTCAAAAGATGTTTTGGGCAAGCAGCATTCAGTGCTGAGGAGCTGTCCTTCCACGGTCAGAGGTTTATGTAAAAGCAACAGCTAAAAGCATGGCCATAAAGAAGTCTGGAGAAAAGGCCAAAAGATGTTTAAGGACCCAGATATATGAAAAACATGTAGAGAGATTTCAATATAATGAGAAAAAAACAGACTTGGACGTAACACTAACTATGCATTTTTTACTTATGGGGTACGCAAAACACTAACCTTCGTACTTGATATTTAACATCTTCAGACAATCCATCTTTGGGATGAGAAAGCCATCACTGAGAAGAACTTCAGCCACTGTCTCCCTAGAGCATCAGAGAGTCTTATTAATGCCACTTACTCCTTTACATAGCAAAACACCACTTACACCAGTTCTGACACAAGTTTGAATGCCAAACTGCTGGACTTAGGAGGAGATGTAGTGAGTTGTAAGGCACAAAAACTATATGCCAGTTTTGGGCTGGATATATCCCACTGGACTTGGAGGGAATGTGCAGTTGTGCACGCTGGAACAGAACCAGAACCTAGAAGAAAACATTTCTGCTCGAGTTGCAGAGGCAAATATCTTGGTATTTCAAAAGCACAGGAACATTTATCATACTGAAATGCCTATGGTTTGCAGTAGCATCTAAGTCTTCCACCAGCAGGCCAGCTAAGATTAGACCTGCAACCCACAGAGCTAGGTTAAATTCCACGAAGAAAGCTCTCAGAGTGCGGAAGCAACACACACAAACACTAGACCACTTGGTCATAAGTAGATGATGTGAAGGGAGATCAGAAAATAAGTGGTAGGATGCAATTTGTTTCTAAAAACAAAATCCAGCTTCAATCCTCTTCTCTGGAAACTGTTCCACCATAATTACCATTATTCCTACACGCAATGACTTCTTCACCAACCACTAAGGACATCGCCATGCAGATGGCAGCCTCAGTGAGAACCATTTAAGCAGAAGAACTGACTAAGAAAGGTCCACTGGGTCAGTCCTCTGAAGCAGACAGCAGAGGATCCTTTGCTCATGTTGCTACAGATCTAAAGGAATCTTCTGTCCCCTGCACAATTCAAATTACAGGGTGTGTCGATAGGGGAAATGAAAGGCTTCACTCAGAATCACAGAGGTGTTCTATATTAAAAAAGCACTTTCAGAGGTCACTTGACATAGCCAAGGGAACTCATAAACTCTATTACTGCTTATCTACTAGTCCATAAGTCAAGCTTCCAAACCTAATGAAGGCATAACCTTGTCAATGCATTCTGCACCGGCCTTCCTCCCTTCCTCCTTACAATGGTCTTCAAAAACAAATTCTAGGAACCTCTGTGTTCACTTACATAAACACATGCACGCAAATCTACATTTAAAGCTTGTGAAGTTTGTTTTTTAAATTAAAAAGTGACTTCCACACTCATTGCTCCTTTGGTAGTATAACACCATTCATCTTCTCAAGCCGATGCCATGGTGGAGAACAGACAGGTAGCAAGGGTTACAGAAGGCAGAGGAAGATAAATCTGCACATAAGAGAAATCCCATGCCATATCACTGTATTTATGTCGCTATATAAAGACCAATGGAAACCAGAGTGCGATGGGATCTCATTTTCAATAGTTAACATGCCATTATTAATGAACAGAAGTAGAAGGTACACGTATGAATCTTTTCACCTCGGTTCCTTATCAGGGCTGTACCTGTTCTCCTGCATCAGGTCTTTGATCTGAGCCAAAATCCAGTCCACTTCTGAAGAGGAATTGGACCACAGTTCTCGAGACTTCGAAACAGACTGCACAGTCTGCATAACCTGAGGGAAGGAAAAAATCCAAGCATTAACAGAAGATATGCTCCCATGGCGAACAGAAAGGCATTGCTATGAAGAGAAGATGCACATGTCACACGTACTTCATCAAGAGCACTTCAAAAAATTCCCCTCCCTAGTGCTGTATTAAAAATTAATAATTAAAAATTAATGTAAGCCATGTCATACTTGGAAAAGGCCTGGACTACCAGGTTGTACCAAGAAAGGAAGAGAGAATATTGGAGGTTAGTACTCCTCTGAAAGTTAGTGATTTCTTGATTTGATATTTACCTTATCTGAGTCTGCCCAGCAAGGCAAGGCATGCCTCCTAATGCTCACAACTGCCCAAGTGGCAATTCTAGATATCACCACCTTCTACAAAATACTGGCATGAAGCACGTTACATCACCAACAAGTATTCAGCAGATTCTTTTTGTAAGACAGTAACTACCGAGAGAAAAGAAATTCTTTTTCCTGCCATGTAGGAACGTAATGTAAAATGAGACTGGAAAACCAAGGAGTCATTTTCAGGACTGTGATTAGCTCTCTCAAACTATATATGCAAGGCTACCACGACGTGCAAAGGATACTTCAGATGACAAATCAAGTATAAAGATGTGACTAAAGAACCTCTAGTCTATCCACACGAACAATCAGACAACACAGTACACAGCCCCATGACAGAGCTTATTTTGGGCTAGTTTATACCTTGCAGATACCTTTGAAGTGTCATAAGTAGTTAACAAAATAGCCAGAGAAGTAACTGGATCAGAGACTGTCCAGTTACACTCTTATAAAGGTGACTTTAGAAAATGAGAACTGAAAGTGCTGATGATCAGACTGCACTTACCCGAAACTGCTCATTCTTGTAGGATATCAGCACATCTCTGACTTTTTCTAGAAATAAACATAGATATGTAAGTTTAAACAGGGAATGTAAGTTTAAATGGGGAATGGATCAACTACATGAGGGAATTTTGTATCTGGGCAAAACTGCTCAGTTCTGCTGAAAACACAAGTCAAGGAAGACATCAGTCAAATGAAGTCATAAATTCTGATTCAGACAACACTCTGAAGACTCCTACAGCTGCCAGACTTTTCCAGCAACATAAATTTTATCAAGTGGGGTTGAACCAGAAGTTTAGCATTTTATCGGTGACAGTGGCTAAAGATGGGCAAGTTGGATAAATCCAGACAGCTGCAAAAAAATCCCTAAATCAATCAGTTTAGGAAGAAATTGTTCCCATAGGCAGTTCACGTTCTGATGTGTATTTGTATTCCTTATACTTGCATTTTAAACCTACTGCAACAGAACTGTGGCTGTTCACAAACCAAGCATTTCCTTATTGGACTTAATTAAACTTTAATTTACCATCTACAGGAAATGCCCTTCCTCTATTTGTAGAACAATCTCACTGTGTCTGAGATAGCAGGAACCTGCTCTTCCTCAAGTTATGAATCTACAGAGTTTTCAGGGCTACAAAAGGACCATAGCCTTCTTTTATCAGTAGTGGCTTTCATACCAGAACTGTGGTTTTCAGGACACTATAACTAAATTTTTACAATGCTTGGCCCTAAACCATCCCAGTATAACTGTTGCTACTGCTTAGGATACTGCATGTTCAATAAAAGATGACAAATTTATGCTACAAATTCAGTAAGCCAATACCAAAAAAGTCAGTCACCCCAAGAATCCAACAGAGCCCAAGAGGAATCCCCAAACCTGGGCTGAAGGTATATCTTCATGCATTGTCAGGGCTAGAAGATGGCACTTTTAAACTGCCTTCTCTATCATGGGACATAGTTAATCCTTGTATCTGCTCTTGTCCTAGGATCACCTACCATGGAATTCCTTGTGTTTCTGACAGGCCTCGTGCTGTGGGGTTCGAATCTCCCATGCATCGCTGTCCAACTCCGCATCTGCTTCCACTCCTTCCTGCTCCTCTTCCTCGTCCTCATCTTCACTTTGTTCACACAAATTATTGCCCAGCTGGCGGCTCCAATACGTCTTTCGTAGCCAGTCCAGCACAACATCACAACCTAAGGGAGAACAGAAAACGTCTTCTTCTTAATGAGGTTTTCTTTGTTATTAAAAAATAAATATAGATGCCACACTGCTAACTTGCATTGTGAAAAGAAATGCTGTAAACAAGTTATGAACCCTAAAACCACTACAGCTCCATTAATGAAAAGGGGAACAAGTTTAAAAAAGAAAAAAAGACAACGAAACCCCTCCACAGGCCAGTATCACAGGCCTGGTAACGCCCATCCGCTGTCTTTTTGGCAACAAAAAAGACTGGACGCTGCTATAGTGCTGCACCTTGCTCAAGCAGGCCAAATTTAAGCAGAAACTAAGCCCCAGCAGTGGTGTTCTGAGGAGAAAATGAGCCAATTCTTTAGTATATTTTTTTGTGCAGACTACAGTAAACATATGTTAGATAGAATGGGAAAAAGCCTCTACCTTTTCTCCCATCATTATTTCACTGCCCAACTCAATCTAAGGACCCTGCTGAAGGCTATATAACTGGCTCCTCAGCTCTTAACCCCAAATTCCCAGGAATCACTTCAAACACCATGAGCTGGTCATTCACTCAGGCTTGTAGTCCCTACCGCATTTCTCCCTAAATGGGATTTTTTAAGTCTTAGGTACCATCAGGAAAAGCTTTTACCTCTTTACCTGTGATGAACTTCCTGTACTGTAAAGAAGCGAGGGCCAAACGATTGTTTCCAGTATTTTCTTCAGGGGAAGGAGAAAGTCTCTGAGCACCCGCCCTGTGACGCACCACAGCCTGAAGCCACCAGACAGTTCAGCTACGCCCACAGGGCAGCAGCAAACCCTCTCAGTGCCTCACAGCACAACTCTCCCTGCCAGGATGAGTCCACTGCCTGGCCCCAAAACGGAAGGAGGGGTGCTCCTCCTGATACCCATGGCACTGGCATTGCCGCCCTGAGCACACCTCAGTCTGGGCCCTCCCCGTGCCACTCACCCTTGCGGCACAGAGCCAGGCGCGGCAGTTTCCCATGGGTCAGCTCGTGACGGAGATCCACAACCCAGATGGGGATATCCACCTGGAAGAACAGCCACCAGCGTTACCCCAGTTCCTGCTGCATCACGCCATGACTCCGTGCAGCCCTGCACGGCTGCAGAGAACCTCTGCCCACGTGGGAACGGCCTCATCTGGGCCGCTCCTGCACCACAGTTCCCCAGCATCCCACTTCAAGGGTGGGCTGAGATCCCCTCCTTTCTGACCCCACTCCTCCTGTGGCTTAGGATCCATCCAAACTTGGGATTTTACAGTTCAAGTTCTTCAAGATACTTGCAACAACAGGTGTCTCTTTAGACACAGGTGCTACGTAAAATTTAATGTGATACTGAGCAGCAGTTAAATGATATTTAAACTGATGAAACATTCTCAATGACAGCTTATATACCAAAGATACAAATCATACCATATATAATACTCAAATTACACACAGTCTAAGTTGCACGCAATTTTTTTGCAACTCTCCTAAGGACAGCTCACTTTATGCAAAACCTCCATTTTTAAGTTTGACCAGTTTTAAAAGGACAGAAGCAGCACCTTCCTTAAAAACGAAGAAGAAAAAAAAAAAGAAATCAATTCATCAGTCTCACACAGGAGCCCCAGACAAGGCAGCCTACATAGGAGACTCCCAAAAACTGTCACTTCTTCACTTTCAAAACTTGCTGTTCAGACCCACATACGACGTTCAGTGCAGCTGGCAATAAAAGGACTCAATATTACAACTACACCTTAAACCTTCCCTCCTCCACAAATAAGTGGACAAGTGCTCCTCAAGTGAGAGACACAAGATGAAAATGCCTGCAAATACAATTGTTTTCTTATGCATAAACTTGCTTGTCAACAACTAGAAGTTATAAACCATGTATTTAGCTCTTTTCCATATCTCAGTAGCTAGGAAACAAAAATCTGTGGTGTAGATGTCAAGTGGGACTTTGTTATTCCTAATCTGCCTTTAAAGTACATTTTAGATCTAGTTACATCAAGCCTCTTCAAAACTTCGCAGTTGGAAAGGACTGGCATCTATATCCATTATTTTGGTTACAAATTAATTACTCCCTCCACCCAGTGTTGCACAGATAATGCATATGCTTTCTGTACACACACAAGTTATTGGGCAACTCTCATTTGATATTTACCTCTTTGGCTAATTGTCTCAGAGGAACGTTGATCATTTTCTGTTTCCTTTCTGTGATCAAGTTGACAAACCTGCATGCAGATTGCAGAAAAGATAAATGATTATCAAGTGCTGCAGAGAAACCTGGAAACCCAGAGACAAATCCCCCACGTGCTGTATAATGCTGTGGCCCCAGAGATGCAAAATAACAGCTGAATAACACCATCTGCCTGGGTCTGTCACAACACAAGACCTCCAGCACCCTACCTTACAAGAGCCAGCCCGTAGGAGAGGATGAGCTCATGCGACTTCAGTCTGCCAGATGAGTCCAGCACCTTGCACTGAATGAGTTCGGCAGTGCAGTCCACTGCGAGAGGCATTTTGGGACCATACCTAGAAATAAAGGAAAACAAGTGAGCAGTCTCACAACTCCCTCTCACACTCCCGCTGCAAAAAAAGGTAGCTTTCCACCTACTTTTTGTGCTCTGTGGTACAGAACAGCCTAAGAAATTGTACACAAAAAGACAGCATCAAAGGCTCTTTCCAGAAGGCTTTTGTTTGGAAGAGTGATTGCATGGCTACACCAAAGTGTACGTTAAATAAGCACTTATATGCTAAGCACAAACACAATGCAAGATGCCATACCTCGACTGGTCTGGTGCATAGCAGCAGCAGGGGCAACACAAACAGAATTAAGTGGATTTGGGGGGCTCAGGTATGCTCCGTGCAGCACTATGGCCTAGGACACCCTATGCTCCCGCCTGCCCCGGTGCCAATCTACTTCTGGCATGAGCTACGCACCCGAAGCCCACTGCACGACGGAGCCGCCTTCCAGGCACCACCGGACGCCCTACGGGCCCAGGACAGCGATCGTCGGGAGCAGCCTGGGACTGAGGGCCGGCAGGGCCACTTCAGGACCGGAGAAGGCAGCCTGGAAGGCAGCGCAGGCCCCGCAGGGCCGCGGCGCGCTCCCTGCCCGCGGTGCGCGGCCC